TGCCAGTTCTGCAGACTGCTTTCCTGGGAAGGCTGTGCGGCCTGCCTGGACCCTCAGTGAAGAAGGCTTTGCATTCAGCGCCTGTCAGCTGATGCTCATATCAAAGCCGCGAGAAACAGGATCTGACAGCCAGGAATGCCCTCCACTGACAGCCACTGACCGGTGCTCCTATGGCACCCACTGCTTTCTCGCGGTCCCTTTTCACTGTGCAGGGGGAGAAAGTGTTTTGTGGTGTTTTGGCTAAGATTCTATTTTACAATAAAATCAATAAGAATGGCACTCTACATCGGTGTGGTTCTTTGCAAATTCTGAAGTGCTCTTTTATCTGCAAATATTTAGACTAACATTCTCCCCGAGACAACTTATCATCAAATACCAGCATCAAGGGCAATATTTCACTTTACTTTAGAAAGAGAACACTGTAAAAATGTTAAAAAGCTGCTGTCCTGTAGCTGCAACACACACTGCCCTACTACTTCCAGCAACTTGCAATTCATAGTACAGTTTCCATTGTATTGCAAGCAGAATGCTTCTTATTAGAAAGGTCCTTCAAGGATCATTTAAAAAATCAAATTATTAGCAGGTATTAGTGGGTCACAGATTATTTTAAGTATGAACCCGAACACTGCAGAAACTCCATATTCACATTCTCCCACCCAGTATTTAGCTTTTCAAAGAAAGTGACTGCTGTCTAAATGGTTTACAATAACATCAATGCTTAAACAAAGACTTTTAAGTTTTTCTCTGGGTATAATCTTACAGTCACTTTTCATGCACTCAGAATAAGCCCGATTCCTCTGTTATTTGGTTGGAATTTTTGTCCTTTGAAAGAATAAGCCAAGGAAATACCACATGCTAAAAATACAGTACAGGGAAAGCAAAGATAGACCTCAACTTCCTCAGCATCCATCTCAGCTGCAAAAACAGCCTGGGTCGAACTGAGATTCCACGATTAATATTGGGTAAGGCTATATTAATATTGGGTAAGGCTATCAGAGCTCCTTAAAAAACAATCCGTAAAAGAAAGGAAGGGAAAAAAAAATCAGACAGCCTTATCGGTGTTACCTGACAGCCCCCATGACGTGAAAACTAGACCCCATTTTAAAGCTGAAGAAGGGGGAGATCCATAGCACTGTGAATGTGCTTGTTTGCACACAGCCCGGCTGACGCAGACACCCAGGTTGGGGCTCCGCCGCCCTAAGAAACAATGGTGTCTGTCAACCTTTTCTAAGCGACGGCGTGACAGGAGACACTGGGCACCGCAGACCACTCACATGGTCAAGGCAAAAACGCTGCAGTCAACTGAAAGGAGGCCCCCAACACTAACAAACCATTTATCAGCAGAGAAGCCAGGCAATTTGTATTCTAGGGAGGGCGGACTCGCTGGGCACAGACCCAGCTCCACTGGTCCCCTGGAAAGGGAGGGGTAGGATCATGAGAGCCACTGCGCGCACTTAAAAACCTTACAGATGTTTTAAAGGAGACTCGGAGGGGAAAACCCTGTAAAACAGATTTCGGTTCACACAGCAGGTAGGAAGAAAACGCTTCGGTCAGCAACCCGACCTTTATCAGGGGATAAATCAATTTGCAGCAGCTGTGGACAGCCATTTATACTCAGGCCCTGGGCAGGTTAATTAGGGGAAGTTAAAAATGCAAGGCGGCTCCGAGGTGCGCGACGCACCTGAAGCTGGTGGGGCGGCCCCGCGGCTCCCCTGGTCCCCCGTGCGCTCCGCACCCCGGGGACCGCGCGGCCAGGCCCCCTCCCCGGGGGCGCGGGCTCCTCCAAAGGCGCATCGTGCGGATTCCCTCCCCAGGCAGCCGCCAGGCTGGGGTCTGAAGACGAGCTGTGCGCGAAGGATTTCTCCGCGATGCTCTGTGCCGGTAATAAGGAGACCAAGGGCTGCAGGGCTCCCCAGCCAGACCCTCCAAACCGAAAGGCGCGGGGGCTGGGCAGGTAATTTTAGCAACAATCTCGATTCACATCCTACTTCCCACAACCACAGCACTCAAACTTTTCCAAGGGTTCACCGCCCTTTCCAAAAAATAAAAATAAAAAAATTTAAAATAAAAAAAAAATTTTAAAAAAATAAAATTAATTTAGGCGCCAGGTGCCGAGATAACCCTATTTGATTAAGGCGCCCCGCCAGCCATGGGTGCGCCCTGGAGAGGGGTCTGGGTGCGCGAACCACCGCGGTCCTTTCTGGTTCGCC